CCTAGCATGGAACGCGTGGCACGCACCACCCCCCGCGCCCCCCCGGACCAGAAGGGGGGAGGGGGAAATGCGGTGGGTTGAAGTCCCCACATCGGCAAGCCGCCAAGGTTGAGAAACATGGCATTAGACAATCTCTAATGGCCTTCTCACCCTTCTGCTTGACCCTACAGCCTTTTTCCAACTGCAGGATGGGTCAGGGGCTAATTTGACAGGTTTGGGAGCAAGGGGAAAAGCATCTTCCAACTCGCATCCTTTTCCGGAGGGCCGTCTCAAACAGGGACAGAGCCGGAAGGCGCCACGGGGAGATTTTCCAGCAGGAAACGAGGTAGAACAATTTTTTAAAAAATCTCTTGCAGGAGAAGACAAGCTGTAGAAGCTGCTGGGTGGACTTTAGCCCAGCCTGTTTTTTGCTGTATCTGGGTCCTAGCTTTTGCAAAGCGACGCGGGGGCTTCTCCTGATCCAAACATTTAGCTGATAATTTCTGAGAGCAGCGGGGTCATGGAGGAGAGATCCTGGGTGTCGTGGATGTGAAGGATCTGGCGGGTGTTCTCCACTTTCAGCGTCTGAAGCTCGGTCAACAGCAGGAGAAGTTTGGCGTAGAGAAACCTAAGAAGACGAGAAGAGGATACCCAATTTATTCCGTTTTTCTTCCTCCTTCTTCCTCCTCACTTCCGAATGGTTTCCCTTTCCCCCCCTTCCCAACTCTGGTTGGTGAAAAAAGCTTGTCTGAACGTCCCTCTCTCATTCAGGCCCCCCTTAAAAATACTTATTTCTAGGCCATGCTTCCATTCCCTGAAAGCACGTCTACTCGGATGATTTAAGAAAGCTAAACAGCGGGTTCCTCCGAAGAAGGATCCAAAAAGAAACTCAACAGCTTGAGCTGGCTTTCAATCTTTACACTCCTGGCAGAGCAACAAGAAGAAATAGGGAAACGCAAGCTTCAGAGATTTCAGAACAGGCTGGTTCCCCCAGCCTTGGATCCTTCAGACCGGCTGGATTCTGCCTCCCATAAATCTACCCACGATGGAAATGGTGGTTTCCCAGATTGGAAAGAGAGTTGATTTTTAGCGATTTGGAGTTTCTGCAGGGGGCTTTTCCCTGACTCCGTTGGCAGCTTACCTGCCTTCGGGCAACGGATGCCACTGGTCAATGTAGTTCTTCAGGGTCAGGGCGATCTTCTCCTGCATCCGATCTATCTCCTCCCGTTGGGTAACGTCCAGGCGGTCTACAGAGCAAGAGGCTTGAGGGTGAGACAGAAGGTGGAGTCGAGGTGGAGCGTCTTCCCTCGCTGGCCAGGCAGAGAGAGATCCCCTTGGCTACCCAAAGAGGGCTGGGTGTCCCCCGACAGAGTGAAACGTTTTAAGGGGAAGGAAATAGCAGCTGAAGCCATTGTAGGCTTGTTGGGATTTTAGGGAAGGACCGTTAGAGTCATTTGGTCTGACCCCCTGGCCAGAGCAGGAACCCAATGCATGGAATCCTTGAATGGAAAGATGGGAAGGGCCTTAGAGGACATCTAGTCTGACCTCCTGGCCGGGGCAGGAACCCAATTCATGAAATCCACGAATGGAAAGGTGGGAAGGGTCTTAGAGGGCATCTAGTCTGACCTCCTGGCCGGGGCAGG